TGAAGCAGATGAAAGAGGACCAAGTACAGTATCCCCTCCAGACATTTGCAATTGGCATGGAAGACAGCCCCGATTTACTGGCAGCTAGAAAGGTAAGGTGCTGTCTCTGCCCCTTGTATAGCTAGAGTAGACTTGTTATTAGAGTGAAAATGGAGTCAATAATGGATAATTCCACTTATGCTGCTGTATTGACTGGGGAAATTGTTTCAAATGTGTTAAAGTAGAATGAAATCGCTGTTGAATATGCACTGTATTGTACACTGTCCTCTGTACTTTTATCTGTTATGACCTGTACAGTTCTCACAAAGACACTGTGATGATAATTATGCTCTTTTGAAAGTAAAGGTGTCGGGTGCAGTGGCCTACACCTGTAATCCCAGCACTTTAGGAGGCTGAGGGAGTGGATTACTTGAGGTCAAGAGTTTGAAACCAGCCTGAGCAACATAGTCAAACTCCCATCTCTACAGAAAAAAATATAAAAATTAGCGAGGCTTGATGGCGCATGCCTGTGATGTTAGCCTTATGGGAACCTGGGTGATAGAGTGAGACCTTGTCTCAAAAAAAAAAAGGGAAGGAAGTAAAGGCATAAGTCAGGTGCAGTGGCACACACTTATAGTCCCAGATACTTGCGAGACTGGTGGGAGGTCTGAGCTCAGGTGTTCAAGTCCAGGCTGGGCGACATAGCAAGACCCCATCTTGAAAAATTCAAAAGAGAGGCTTTTGTTTGTTCGTTTTTTTGTTTGTTTTGTTTTTTAAAAAAGAACGTAAAGGCATGGTATCATGGCAAAGACTGCAGGCTTTGGAGTCTGACTTGTGGCTTGACATCCTGGCTCTACTTGTTTATGTAACAAAAATAATAGTGTCTGCTATGGGGTAGTTTTAAGGTGAAATGATATAATTCATGTGAAGTAAGTAGGGTAGAACTTAGTATATAGTAAGTACTTAGTGAGTGTTAGCTGTTATTATTTTAAAAAGTGCTATATTTAGAATACTGTGGACAGAGGGCAGCTTGTCTGTATTCAGTGAGCAGGAGACCTAGTTCCCACTCTGGAGAACTTTTGTAACAAGGATGAGGAAGAGCTAGAGAGCAGTCTCAATACAAAGTGATCAATGCTGAGAGAATCCAAAATAGCCAAGAAAAGTAGAATGAGGGGAGGTGCCATTCTATATAGTAATAACATCTAGGTTATAAAATTAGGCATTTCAGAAGGACCAAAAAAGACCAAGCTTAGCATGGGACCCTATTGGACTAGGGAGAAATGAGGTGGGTTAGGTAAAATGGGTGAGGAGGGAGGTGCCGACTGAGAGAATGGTTGAAGCCTTGGCACCGGAGGAGCTGAGGGGAGACATACTTCCTGGTGGTGGATTTGAAGCAGGTGAGGGAACAGGGCTGGATGGGGCTTGTATGTGGTGGCCTGTAAAATCATGTTTTCTGTTTTCCCTTGTTTAGTTTTCACCGTTGTTAATTCATAAAGCTTTGTGAACTCGCGTCATGTTTGATTTTCAAGGGAAGTTATTTTCTTTAACAAATAAAGGGGTATTTCTTCATATAATAAGGTAGCAAATCATATTGGAAGTGAGCATCATGAAGTCCTCTTCAACTCAGAGGAAGGCATTCAGGCTCTGGATGAAGTCATATTTTCCTTGGAAACTTACGATATTACAACAGTTCGTGCGTCAGTAGGTATGTATTTAATTTCCAAGTATATTCGGAAGAACACAGATAGTGTGGTGATCTTCTCTGGAGAGGGATCAGACGAACTCACGCAGGGTTACATATATTTTCACAAGGTAAGCACTCTGAAGTGGAGGGAAGTTCATGCTGTATTAAGAAAAGTATGAATTGTTTGACCATTTTCTATCATCTTTCAGTATGACAGTAATAGTTTTGAGTGCCTTGTGAGATTACAAAAGGGAATCTGATAGTGTCTGCTTTCTATCTCTTGGGGAAGAAAGAAATTTTAATAGTGTTAGATAATTTTTATTCTTTAAAACTAGTAATAGACAGGTGTGGTGGCTCATGCTTATACTCCCAGCTACTCAGGAGGCTGAGGTGGGAGGATCACCTGAACCTAAGAGGTCCGAGGCTGCAGTGAGCTGTGATTGTGACACTGCACTCCTGCCTGGTTGACAGACCAAGAACCTGTCTCTTTAAAAAAAAAGCAAAAGTTAAAAATAAATAAATAAAACTAGTTAAGCTTGAGAATCACCTTTCTGCCATTTCTTAGCCGCCTACGGAATTATGACTGTTTCCCAGTGTGTTCATTTTATTCTAATACTAGCAGTTTAAAAGGTATGTTTTGTGAAGCATTGCTTAGCTCTGTTCAGGTATTTACTCCCTTCCCTAAATTTGTTTAGCTTTTTGTCTTATCCACCTTTGGGATTGGAGAGGGAGAAGGACAAACTGCTTTGTGTATCAAAAGCAAAACTCTTGGTATTTTTGTTTGAAATAGGCTCCTTCTCCTGAAAAAGCTGAGGAAGAGAGTGAGAGGCTCCTGAGGGAACTCTATTTGTTTGATGTTCTCCGCGCAGACCGAACTACTGCAGCCCACGGGTAACATTTTAAGAAACTATTGTAAAACAAAAACAAAAAAACATCAAAAATAATTTTAAAAAAAAGGCCCAATACCCTGAAAAAATTAAAAGATCAATAGCTGATTGGCTACATGTTACATACAGTTGGCTATATGTTACAAAGTGTGACTTCTATGGAGAAAATGAAGCAGTTTCTTAACTTAGTCCCCAAAGAGGCCACATTTCAAAGTGTCATGGTCTATGGGGAGAAGTCTTCTTCCATAGGTCGTTTGAGGTGGGGTTTTCACCTTTAAAGGGTAACAACATTCTGCTCACATCTGAACAACCAAGAGGGAAGAGGGAAGGCTGCTACAGCTATTGTTAAGTGTTTTAAAGAGAAATAGGCCGGGCTCAGTGGATGACCTGAGGTCAGGAGTTGGAGACCAGCTGACCAACATGGAGAAACTCTGTCTCTACTAAAAATACAAAAAAATCAGCCAGGCGTGGTGGTGCATGCCAAAAGAGGGAAGTATTGTAAACATGACAATCTTGAGTGCCCACCATGCCTGTTTGGTGCTGTAGTGACCCTGAGGGGATAGGGCAGTGAAGATGCAAGGCGTTTGATTACATTATAAAGAACTGGGGTTTTTTTGGTATCGTTTCTGGTTGTCTAAAGTTATGTTGAGGAACTGAAGACTTTTGCTGTATAGGGTAAACAACTGACATTAAATGTTTTAGTTGCCTCTGCTGAATCACACATAAATTAGGATATAATTAATTATGAGTTTGGGGAATGAACTGAATCTGGTTATTATCCTATCTGCTTGTCTTAACTAGAGTCTCTAGGCTTCAGGAAACTGGTGATATGGCATTTGATGAAATACAGTGGAATGCTAGTTTATATTGTACGTTGAAAACACTGAGTTAGAAAGCTCCAGGCAAGGTATTTTCTTAATGATTGGGTCACTCATGATTTGTAACTTTTTCTGCTTTTTGAAATATGCAATTAACTATTCCTAGAAAGGAAACTAAAAGTAATAGTCTCAAATAGTTAGTTTTACTCCCTAGATGACATGATATGTTTGTTACTTTAAATGAATATATATTTTTTTGTATTCATTCAGTAGTGTAGGGCAGCCTCCTAATGGGAGTCTTGTACTTGTATGTGGCTGTATGATTTTAACATTTCTTAGAATCTGGTTGAATTGATGGGAAACTGAATCAGAACCTAAACTGATAGGCATTAAATATCCATTTTAATTTAGATTTTCTTCTTTTTTCCTTTAAGCCTTGAACTGAGAGTCCCATTTCTAGATCATCGATTTTCTTCCTATTACTTGTCTCTGCCACCAGAATTGAGAATTCCAAAGGTAGGTAAATCAACTCAAGATAGAAACTGTCCAGTGCCACCAGATTATATTTGTAACTTTCACTGATGCTCCTTTTTTTTTTTTTGATGTCAGAATGGGATAGAAAAACATCTGCTGAGAGAGACATTTGAGGACTCCAATCTGATACCCAAAGAAATTCTCTGGCGACCAAAAGAAGCCTTCAGTGATGGCATAACTTCAGTTAA